CTGTGGAGGGCACACGGTCGCACACAGGCCTGTGCAAGTGCAGATGACTCCGGCGCATCACAACGGGGGGCTCCTCAGGGACGCATGGATGCCGCCTGCGTGTCGTGGGTTGTCAAGAGCGTCTTATTCCATCACCTGCTCCCTGACGGAGTGGGATTCTTTCCCCTTTGGCAACACTGAAAAAAAGCCTGCTGTAATTTATGCAGCTTTTACCGGAATGGAAAATGTCGCGTTGTTTTCTGAGCTTAGCAAATGATCCTGGAGAAGATGCTTCAGAGGCTGAAGGCCGAGCAGAGAAGGGGTCCTTTCTTTATGACACTTGCACCCAGCCCCACAGGTTGCGCTTTTTGTACGCAGTGCACATGCAACCTGTACCTCTTTTTGTGTGTGTGTGTGTGTGTGTGCTTCAAAAGGCATGCATTTTAGTGCATTTTCAGCTGTTTCCATACTTTTGCATGACAGATTTAGCCATCAATTCCAGAAGGTTGGGAGTGCGGAGGGCCCAGGAGCACATGGACTCCGAAAAAGCCCGTCAGCGAAAAAAGCCACAGGTCAGATTCACGGAAGCGCAAAATAATTTGGCCGCATTTCAAAATACTGACAGGCCCTGCTTGTGAGGGTCATGGGATGCAGCTGTGGAAGGCCCTTCGTGGTGACGTGCTCTGGTGGAAGCTGATCCGCAGGTGTGTGAAAAGTTCCCTTGTGCCGCAACACCGGCCCACACGCCCCGTCCAAGTGCTGATCGTGAGCACGCGGGCACCGCAAACACCTGTGAACAGTCAGACACGTCCTTGCGCTCTCCTAATTCCCGGCTGCCGGGTTGATTTGCACAGATCTGCTCCGCAGCATGAGTCAACGGAGGAAATCGGCACAAACCAGGAAGTCTGCCCAGATTTGGGGACGTTTATGCAAAGCTGCTCTTCTGCTGCTGCTCGTTTGCGCGGAGTGCGAGGAGCTGCCGCCACAAACGGGAACCGGGAGCAAGACGAGCCGTGAGCCAATATTCAGCCACGCCTCGCATTCTGGGCACTGCTCAGTCAGCCATGCTGGCCTGCTCTTTGCCGCCCATGGATTAATTAATGGGGAGATGGCCTGACCCCCCAGGGCCGGGGGAAGCTGACGAGGCCTCCGAGAGTAAATGAATCTCAGCAGATGAAGGGAGCCGGAGGGAAGCTGCCCGCCAGATCATTGGAAGTGCATTAGCAGCTGTGGCATTTGCAATGCAAACCAGCCCATGGCGGCTGCTCCCGTGCTCCTCCTCCGAACAGCATGTCCTGTGCCTGGCACGCGGCACGGTCTGCTGCGGAGCGGGCCGCTGCAGTCCGTCCAGGCGCCAGAGGAGGGGCAGAGGAGCATGCGGGGGCTGGAGCCCCGGGCAGGGCAGGGCTGGGACGGGAGGGGACGGGACGGCCAGGCCGTTGACGCAGGCCAAGTCGCCACCCTGCTTTGGAGGGAGGTGGCAGGGCCGAGGAAGGAGCCCGCGGAAGAAGGGGCAGGACGGCGCTTCTCCGGTCCAGCAGGGCTGGCGCTCTCCGAGGAAGAAGAGGCTGCTCTTGCTGGCCCGGGGCGGGGGGGGGTGGCGAGCGGCTCCTGTCCTCGGGGCTTCAGCTGCAGGGGGGCTGAATTTATTTATTAAAAGCTTTTCTAGGCTGTCCACTACAAGTGTTGGCTTGCAAGAAAAAGCAAAGGAAAAAAAGCCGAAAATATAAAACAAAACAACATACTGCATCCAGCCTCAATAATAAAACCCAGAATAAAACCAGTGAAACATTTGAATGCTGGGAAAATAAAAAGGTTTTCGCCTGATGCCGAAAAGAATAAAATGACGGCACCAGGCGAACCTCCCTGGGGAGCAAATTCCATAGTCGGGGCGCCACCACAGAGAAGGCCCTTCTTGGACAACTAATCTCCTACTCTCCCGGAGAAGGACCCCCGCCTCAGACCTTGAGGAGTGGGCGGCACGTGCAGCTGAGGTGACGAAGGAAGGAGGTCTTTGTGGCGAGATCAGTCTGACCACGGCGGGAAGGGCCAGAGGGGGCTGCGCCCTCCCGTTTGAGGCACTGGAGGATGCTCTGGCCCTGCGGGTGGGCTGGACACCTGGCGCCCTCCCGCCAAACCCCAAGGCGGGGGACTACAGGAGGGGCAGGCAGGCCGCAGAGGGCCGTATCCCGTATCCCGGGCCGTATCCCGCAGGGCCGTATCCCACAGGGCCGTATCCCGATCCACAGTCATCACCTAAGAGACTTGCAAGGAAAGCTGCAAAGTGAGTTCACCAAGCAATTATTTCGGGTGAAGTCCAAGGGCAACACGAGTGGATCCTTCTTAGGGAGCGAGTCAGCTAGACATCAGGCAAATGCATCCAGAAGCGACAGCAAAAATCTTGCAAGGGCTCGCGTTCCTCTTGCACCCAGATCCCTAACACAGGTGGGAGCCACGCCGCTTCAGACCAAATTCAGTCCTGCACTGCTTCTCCCAGTGGCCAACCAGGCGCCCCAGAAAACTTACAAGCAGGACGTGAGGGCAGCTCTCCTGCCTTCCCAGCCCCCCAGCAACGGGTGCCCATAGGCAGCTGCCTCTGAAGGCAGCACCGAGCCACCAGGCCCAGCAGCCACTGATCGCCTCCTCCTCCCCGAGCCGCAGGCCCTCCCCCTCTGGCTGGCCTCGCTAAGCCAGGCCCCTTCGGAGAATCGTGGCCGCCCCATGAAAGGCGATTGTACTTCGTCGTCGCCAATGGGGAAGCCCGGCGCTCACCGAGTTCCAGCAAAGCTGGAGCAAAAGCTGAGGGCAGATTCACCGGTTCAGTTGCAAATGGACATGGGATGGTCTCAGGTCATCCTACAGAACATTAGCAATCAGCTAAGCGAACCAAGACTTTTTGGAGAAGAGTGACAGAAGACCAATGACCCACGCAAAACGACCCCACGCAGGAGGGCTGGCTGCAGAGTTTGGGGGTCGAGAGGATGGTGGAAGCGCCCTGCAGGTTCACACCACGGGTCCATCTAGTCCAGCCATCGGGGCACGAGGACAGCGGACTCTCCTGCCAGGTTCCCCAGCTGCTGCGTGGCACAGACCACCAGGACCAGCAGCCACTGATAGCCCCCTTCACCGCGGCCTTGCCGAAAGGTCCCACTAGTAACTGGCCGCGGAAGGGAAGGGAATTCCATCCTGAACTATGCAGCCGGGGAAGGACTGCCGTTTCCTCTGACCTGCCCCTGCCCCAGGCAACCTGCTGGGATGGGCGCCTTGGGTCCCGGAGGGCCCCCCCCGGCCACTTTCCCTGCCAGGCATCATTTGGATGCCTCCGTCCCGTCCCGCTCGCTTGCCTTCTGGCTGGCTGCCCTTGACCAATCCTGGCCACGAGCGCAGGAGAAGCCAGGCGGACGTGGACCACCCCACCTGGTCACTCAGAGCGGCCCCGGGGACCCGCCGGGCCACCGCCGTTCTTCTCTGCCTCAGCAAAGACTAGGGGATAAATTCGGAAGAGGACGAGAAGAGGAGGGCCTGTCTGCGGGGTCTTGTTCATCCTTTTATCTCTGGAGGGAGGAAGTTCACTGAACCTTTGCCAGCAACTCACTCAGGCTAATGAAGTGCGCCAGCGAGGAGACTAAATAATCTTGAACCATCATTCGGCTGCCTTGTGCAGATGGGCCGCCAAGCCGCAGCAGCTTCGGGGGGGCGCGGGAAGAGACTCACGCCCCCCCCCCCCGGAGGATTCTCCGCTTGCATGCGGGCCCTCAAAGCTCCACATCGCCCCAGGTGCTAAAACAGGATGTTGTGGGTTTGATGCCTGCCCAGCGGAAGCGGCACTCTGGCTCCCCACATGTCTAGGCGGAGATATCCTGGGGTGGGCGATGGATGTGGGGGCAAAACGATAATGAGAAGGTCGCATCCTGGGTGCGCTCAGGGGGCTTCCTTTTTATCACCCGGCTCAGAGTCGAGCGATGGTGCTGACGGGTTTCTCTGCGCCCCTCATGCCCCCGACCCGGCCACAAGGAGGTGGCGCACGGCCCCGCTCCAGCCCCTGCCGCCTCTCCCTGCCAGCACCAGCCGGGCCAAGTGGCCGCCAGCCCCCGAGGCCATCAGCTGTCTGGAATTGGGCCGGCCGCGCCCGGCGGGCCTGAAAGGCTGCAGCTCCCGAGCCAGAGGCCTGGAAGCCTCTCTCGGGCCACCGGCCCAGGGCCCTTCCGCCAGGACTGCGGCTGGCGCACGCCAGCGGCGCCAGTCCTCCCGGAGTCCAACCCGTCCGCCGTGGTCTGCCCAGCGGCCCACCCCTTTCCCCCGGCCCCCGTGGTTCAGTGTGTGCCCAGCTCCACGCATTTTCCCCAGCTGAAATGCCAGGCGAAGGCCTCCGGAGTGGCTGGAAGAGCTTTCGGAGAACACATGGAGCACGTCTGGCCCCGTCCCAGCGCCCTTTGGCCCCTCAGCCGCGGGCAAGCAACTCCCGCGCAACCCTGCCTGCCGCAGGAGGAGGTTCCTCACCCACCCTACACTGCACATCCAGGGTGGGGAGCGACGGCCCTGCGTCGCTGTGGGACTGCAATTCCCGTCAGCCCCAGCAAGCATAAGTGATGGCGGGGGATGATGGGAGCTGCAGTCCCACAGGCCGCACGTGCTCCTGCACATGTGCTCTGGTGGGTTTCCAGGGACGGGCGGGCCCGACCTTTCTCGGCCTGGCGCTCTCCAGGGGTCTGGGGAAGCCGGGCTGGCCCCTTCCCCACTCTCCCAGCCAGGGACCGCCATCCCGGCCAGCGGAGGAGAATTCCTTAAAACGCCGGTGCGCCATGCGCCGCAAGGCCTGCCTCTGGCTGCCGTGAGCGCTGCCGCCACTCGGCCCCGCCGGGGGACCCCGAGCTGTTCTGCCCTGGGCTGGGCTTGCTCAGCGCCCTGTTCGGAGACAGAGCTGGCAGCACGTGTGACCGCAGGGGAGAGCGGGTGGGTGGGCTTCCCCAGGCGGAGCCGCACGCCTGCCCCGCCCCCCCCGGACGCAGCCGGGCACTTACGATGTAGCAGGTCTCACAGAAGGCCTTCTTCTCCACGGCGTAGAAGGGCTGGCCGCGCAGCTTGCTGCCGCAGGTCATGCAGGTGAAGCACTCGACATGGAAGACCTGGTCCATCGCGGTGCAGCCGGTCCCTTCGCCGACCACGTTCTCCCCGCAACGCGCACAGCGGCCTGGGAAGGGTGTCAAAAACAGGCTTTATTTTATTGCTTTTGCTTTTGCTTTTGCTTTTGCTTTTGCTTTTGCTTTTGCTTTTGCTTTGCTTTGCTTTGCTTTGCTTTCGCTTCGCTTCGCTTCGCTTTAGATGGATGCCATGTTCCACGTCTAAACATGCTGGAGCAGTGACCAATAAAAATGCAAAGACTAACATGCCATCTTGAAAGGGAATAATCAATACGAAGCAAGGGGTGGCCAGCCAAGGGAGGTTTCTGGAAGCTGTTTTCGGGAGCCGCCAGAAACAACCTCGTGGCAGTGCCTGCCCGCCCACCCAAGGCAGAGGGTCTGGAGAAACGGAGCCGTCGTCCTGGCGGCATTTCCCTGGGGGGCTCCAACCAGGCCCAGGCGGCAGACCAGCCGATGGCCTCCGTGACCAGGTAGGCCGATGGAGGGCAAAAACCAAGTGGCCAGTTTTGCTCCTGGTCTCCAAGGAGAACAGCCAACGGATGCAGGAGGAGCCCTGCTGGACTGACCTAAGGATGCCGGCTCAAAAGATAAGAGCGTGGCTGTGACCAAAGGGGGCACGAAGGGGCATCTCATTTCGCATCGCTTCCTGGACCGCCTCCCCTGCCAGGCCTGATGGGCAAACCAGAGACGGATTCGGGTGCAGGCTCCGGGGAGGCGGGTGTCTAAAAAGCGGCGTGGGGGGGAGGCACACGGGCCTGGCCGAGCCTCGGAGGGGACAGAGCGCTTCCACCTTCCCCGGCAGACCTTGCCAGCAATTGTCTCCTCCCCAGCTGCTTTTCCACTGCTGCCTTCCCAGGCAAGTTTTTAGCTTGCTGCTACTCTCCCTGAACCTAGGAAATATGGCAGGCTCCAAAATAGGCACACAAGATCTCAGGATGGAATGGAATGACGAGCTCAAGAGCTCCATTGTTATGGATGCAGCACTGGCATCTGTCGCAGAAGCATTAATGGCTCTTATCCTACACCTAATCTGGCAAAAGCTTGTGACTGGGGGATGCTGGACTCCACAGTGGCTCTTTAATAGGGGATCGTGTAAGTCAGTGAACCCCGGAGGCACAGCGCAGCTAATGCTTCTCTTCCCTACGTCTTGGCAGCGCCTGCTGTCTTTCACGGGGAAGGTAATGATAAACTCTGGGATGGAAGCATGTGCACCATCTTCTCAACGATCTTTTCAGGGCCCAGAATAGGGTTCGAAGGAACGCGAGACGCCATGTTGAAACTGAGCAGGTCTGGGCCTGGCCTGAGCTTGGAGGGGAGACCACCTGGGAACGGCACGTAGCCAGCTTGACTTCCACAGTGGGAAAAAGCAGGGATATAAATATAACAAACAGACAAACAACCTGCTTCTTGGAACTTAATGCAAGGTCAACATAAATGGATCCTCTGCATTCTTTCACTAGCTGAAAAACTAATATTACAACACGGGGAGATAAAAGGCCACCTTCTATAAAATGGCGGGCTAATGAGGAGTTGATAATGCCTACAATGTGATAATGTTGTTGTGGGGATAAGATGGAGGAGGAGATATAAGCTGCCTTGAGCCCTTTGTAGGAAAAAGGCAGGATATAAATTGGAAAATAAATAAATAAAATAAATACAATGTTTGAAGGGTTAGACTTTAAGCAAATGGTTGCTACAGGGAGGCTTGCCCTCCCTCTGTTGAGGTCTGTGTGTAATTACGCCCGGGAACAATACCAAACCTTCTCATGCTTAAAATATATGGGGTGCACACTGCATAAGCATCTATTGCAGCGGACGATCCCAATCCTTGCTCTAGAAAATGGCTAACATTCGATACGGGATTTCGGCTTGCGCCTCAATCCGTCGGAAGTCACAATGGGAACATGAATGAACAGAAGCGAGTCATCCCTTCCCACGTCCTTTGACTGCAGCAGGACACCTTCCGGATGGGACGGCGTGTGCCGTGCCCCAGCGCATCCTTGCTGCTGCACAGGGACAGATGGCGAGAGCAGAGGAAGCAGAACGTGTCGCCTCGCACCGCAGCGTCTTTCTTATGTAAATACATTGGACCGAAACACCCACCAAAGGGCTCCCAAAGGCGCCATCAATAACCACGCTGCCTACTGCATCTCCGGGCTGCCAGGTGCTACTTTTCTAATTGTTGCCACTCCAGAGTCCCTCCGATAATCGTGCTTTAGAGATTCACGGCACATCCGGCTTTTGGGCAGCCAGAACCACTGGCAGGGAATGTGGAAAAATCATTATTCCTAATGAAGAAATATTGATGACAAAACAGCATTTCTAGGACAGTGTCGAGCATGAGTCAACAGCCGAACCATTTTCCCTCTTCCAGGCCTTGCTCCCCCTTTCCTCCCCCGTGCCGGCTTCATCCCCGGGACCAAGCGTCATCCTCGAGGACGTTCTGCTCCCAGGACGGCCACGTGACAGCTGGGGGTCAGGATATTTAGGGCGACGTGTTCGTATGGGGAGGAAGGCAAGAAGGACAGCGCAAGATGTTTAAAATTAGCGATGTGATCATTATGTTTCAGCTGTGCCACGGTGGTCTTTGAAGTCAAGCTTTCCGGCAGAGTTGGAGGACCTTCACCATGGTGACATTTCTCATATCATGGCAGGGAAGGGCAGCATCCAGCAGGAGACAGCAAGACTACGGAAATTACATTCGGCCCCATTAATTGCTTAGGCAGGATTTCGTATTTCTTCATAAACCTGTGTGACCCGTTTTGCCAGAGACAACCAACAAAAGAAAGAAGTGCAGGTGCCCTGTGAAAGAAGCGCTCTTTCTTCGGATAAGTCACTGGCGAACAACTGTCCTCGCTCGATGGGAGCCAAGGGCAGTAACTCCTTCGTACCTGCAGTGCAAGAAATACTTTTTGTACCTGGTTCAGGCTCTGCACCTCCCCAGAAAGTTTCAAGGGTGGCAAATGCTAGCCATGCATTTCTGGAAATCTGATTTCATTCTATTTCAAAGTGCAATGGTTTTAGATCATGCTTGATGCTGTATTTTAGCGTTGTATTACTTATTTGGTTAACTGCCAGAGAGCTTTGACTATTCACAGTTGTCAACCTGGACCATGTCCGATTGCAGGGGCGGCTGGGCGGGGGGCGGCAAGAGTCTTTTCAGCCTGAAACCTTTCCTTCACACACAGGGAGCTCTCATGTCAGGAAGAGGGCTGGGCTGGAGCTCTTCTGCCCAGCAGGCTGGCTTTCTATTTGTGGGGTGCAGGAAGCACCCCAACCTTTTGCATCCCTGCCTCTGACACCCGATGGCAGTCTGAAGTGGAACAGCCCAGACCAGGGCTGAACACGTCAAGGACAATGAGCTCTTCATCTTCATCATCTTCATCTTCCTGCTGCTCTGGGTCATCTCTGAGCTATGCCCCCCCCCCAAGATGAGTGCCCCCCAAATGTCCCGTCCTGCTCTTGTCAACTCAAGGCTCCGGCTTATTTATGAACCAATCCACCCCATAGCTGCCCCTCCTCTTTTCTCCTGCCTTCTCACGATGCACCTGAACTCCGGCAGCTCCGGTCTTGTCGGTTTTGCTTCCAGGGAAAGCCCCGGCTCAGTCTGATCCAGGACCCCCGTGCTCCTCTTTCTACCAGCCCAGCTCTCCTCCAGCGCCGTGTCTCAGATGCATGGGCTCTCTTCCCAGTTCTCCTCCTGGTCCAGCCTTCACACCGCCCCACAGTGACCAGGAACACAGCGGTGAGAATGACCTCGGCCTCGGCCTGCACCCCCAGACTTCGAGATCCCCTCAGGTCTCCTCACTGTGCCCTTCCAAGCCTCAGCCTTCTCTGAATTCCTTGGTCACAGTCTCTGTTTGAATCGATGAGTGAGACCGGGGTGTGCAAACTCTGCCACCCTTTCCATTTCTTTCTTGGTGAGATCCAAGTTGTGTGGTTCTTTTGCAGCTGTGCTTTCTGTTTTCTCGCTGCTCGGCGGCAGCCCTGCTTCTGCACTTTCTTCTTTCTCTTCCATCAGGAGTGGCTTCAATTCATCGCCGCTTCCTGCCAGTGAAATGGCATCGTTGGCACTTCTTCAGTTACGGCCACCTCTTCGGCCAAGTTGCACCCCTTCCCCGTCTGATCCTAAGCCCACTTTCTCCATGACTGAGGAAGCTACGGATCACCCATTCCCCACTCCATCCGGTTCACGACCGTCCCCGGATCCCAGGCAGGTTCCTGGTGTTGACACGGGAGCAACGCTGATCTGCATGGATCCGCATTTCGGAAGGAGAACGTCTGAGCCATCCGTTTCAAAACATCTCAACCACGGTATCTTCAGAAATTGCGGGGTGCAGAGGAGAAGCGCTCTGGACTGCCGCGGCCCCCTCATTTGCAACGGCCGCCTCAGATCCCATTCTGCGTCCTCGGTGCCACTTCAAAACTACCTATGAAAACACAGGACTGAGAGGCATCGCATCTTCTCCCGCTCAGAAAAGCGGGGCGGCGGTGTGGGCGAGGCGGAGAGTCTAAGTGCACAAGCGACAAAAGCCAAGCGGAAGCACATCCTCCCCACAAATGGCAGTGCTGATTGTTACACTGAAAAACAACCGCTCTTTTGCCGAATTATCCTCTTCTGTAACAAGGGCGAATTATCTAGATTTCCAAGTGTGATGGCAGATTTTAGCAGCAGGCGCCTCTGATGAATACCTCCGGTGATTGTCAAGTCGGGTGGCTGAACACAGTCTCTGCCTGCCCGTTTTCGTTCCGTTTTTCTTTATTTTCCTGGCCCTCTCTTGCCTGGATTGCTTCCCCGTGGCACGGCACACCGGAGGAGAATGGCTTTACAGCCAGGCATCGACTCCACACGTGAGAAGAAGGCCGGGCGGAGGCCAGTGCCGGGAGAGCATCGTGGCCTCTTGGCCCTCACTGAGGGCTGCGGAGCAAACCCAGTGCCTTGGTCCACGTTTTGGAGCATGCTGGGGCGGGTCCACAGCCCGGGGGCCAATCATGCCCAGGGGCCCGGCCTCGGGCCCCGGCACCCCCCGGCTTCAAGGATGCTGAAGTCGCAGGGCCCGGAAAGGCAGCGAGCCTTCCGCCAGGCAGGGGAAGGCCGGGCGGGCCCGGTGGCGCCCCCGGTGGGCTTGCCTCTGCGTGGCATCTCCCATCCTCGCCCCTCCCCACATTGTCGGGGGCCTTGCTGCCCCCCTTGTGGCCCAACACGGAAAGGCACGCAGGAGCCTGAATCCAGCAGGACGGCTCTGGCTTGCATCCTGGGAAGCGGCTTTGCATTAAGATGTGGCTCTCCTCATAATCTGAAGAAGGGAACAACAGAGACCAGACCCGGGTTGTCCGGAAGCCATTTTGCTTCCCTTGAATGGCCAGCCTCGCTCCTCTCAGGACTGCCTCCTAGCCGGGCTCCGATGCCCCCCCTGCTCCAGATGAAGCCCACAATGCCGTCCGAGGGGTGGCCGCTGTAAGAACTCGCCCCGTGCTCCCTCGGGCGAGTGAGAGCCAACTCAGCCGCCAGCCGGATCTCAGCCAAAGGCTCCCACGGCTTCGGGCAGGAGTGTCCGAAATGGTTCTGAGGACCATACCAGCCGTGACAGCCCATGGAAAGGGCTTCCCCACAACTTCTCCAGGGGTTTTTGCGCAAACCAGGGATGGGGGAGACGTTTCCGCTCAAATTCTGCTGCAGGTGAACTCTGATTTCCGATGAGCAGCATGCTTAGGTACAGAGGAGGGGAGATCCTGGTCCGGTGGGGAGCAATGACACCGCCCCCCGTGCTCCAGATGCGGCTGTTGGGTGCGCAGAGAAGTGCCTGGCTATCAGGTGGGCGGAAGAGCCTGCTTTGAAGATGTACAGGTGTCCACTCCAGGTGCACGCAATGCTTTGAGCTGTGCTGCATCCTCTCACCTTCCACCAGATAAATTGACAGGCAAGGATGAGAGAAAGAAAAAAAAAAAATCCTTCACGCCACACATAGCCAAGCTGCTGAGCTCGTTTCTACACGGTGCTGTGAACAGGGGATGAATGAAAAATTCACTCCAGCTCACTGCTGATTAGGATTTATCCAGTTCACACCATCCAGATGGAACACGGACTCCAACGCAAGCTGAATCTCTGAGCTTACAACACGATTTGTGGATGCCCAAAGCGCATTCGACAGAATGGCACATGGCAAGAGGCGCGCTTTGGAAAAATGCCCAAACATGCTTTCGTAGATGGAGGAGAATGCATACATTTCTCACCCATGTGCAAACTGAATGTGTGCATCGGGCAGGGGCGGGGATATGCATGGGTCTTCACCTAAAAAGGCACAAAACCCAGTCTCACAATTGGAGAACGGTCTGAGCTGGGCCTGCTTCGAGAGGGCATTTAGAAGGCTTTTGCTGATTTGCAGCTTCTTCCTGGCAACGGCCATGAGCCGAAGACTACGGGGCGGGAGGTTGCTGGCCACCATGAGCTACGGCCACTGGGAGCATAAGCCACATGCTCAGAAACGCGCTACCTCTGCACACCAGATGCACCAGGAGACGCATCTCGTCACGTGTCTCGGACTTGGCAGCGGGTTAAGGAGCAGCTTGTTGGCCACCATTAAAATCATGTTTGGGGGAAGATTATTTATTTATTTATTTATTTATTTAAATTTTTTATATGCCGTCCCCATTGCTACATAGCCTCGGGACGGCTCACATCAACAAATAAATAAATAAAACAGTACAATTACAATTAAAACTTGGAAACACACTGGCTGCACAATTAAAACTATAAATATTAAAAATTATTAAAATACTGTTTGAATAAAAAGGTCTTGGCCTGGCACCGAAAAACAAATAACGACGGCGCCAGGCCGACCTCTCTGGGGAGCGCATTCCACAGATGGGGCGCCACCACAGAGAAGGCCCTCCTCCGGGAACTCACCCTCCTAATCTTAAGGGGCGGGAGGGCAAATATGGACGCAGGTGTTCCTTCAAGTATCCAGTTCCCAAGCCATTTAGGGCTTTATAGGTGATAACCAGCACCTTGAATTGAGCCCGGACTTCGATGGGGAGCCAGTGAAGCTGGTAGAGGACTGGGGTTATGTGAGAGTAACGCCCAGTCCCCGTCAGCAACCTGGCTGCTCTGTTTTGCACCATCTGAAGTATCCAGACTGTCTTCAAGGGCAGCCCCACATAGAGCGCGTTACAGAAGTCCAACCGAGAAGTAACCAACGCATGCGTCACTGTCGCCAGGCAGTCGTCCTCCAGGTAGGGACGCAGCTGACGGATCAGCCGAAGCTGAAGGAAAGCGCTCCTCGCCACCGCTGACACTTGAGCTTCCAAAGTCAGCTCTGGGTCGAGGAGCACACCCAAGCTGCAGACCCTGTCCTTCAGAGGGAGTGCAACCCCATTCAGGACAAGATCCAAGTCACCTACCCGGGAGCCCGAACCACCCACCAGCAGGACCTCCGTCTTGTCTGGATTGAGCTTCAGTTTATTGGCCCTCATCCAGCCCATTACCTCGGCCAGGCACCGGTTCAGTACAGATTAGTTGGGGTCAAAAGATACTTCCAGGGGTTAAGGGTCACTTGAAAAAATGTCAGTCTGCATGAGGACTGGGGGTCCTCAGCTGGGGGTCTTCACAAGGCTCATGACCTGAAACGTGGGAACTGAAGAGGAAAAGCGGGACACAAAGACGATTCATAAATACAGCAGCAGCTTGGATCTTTGCTCTGCAGCAGCGTGGAGCCAGATATCTGGGATGCGCTCCTGCTTCCTTCTGGGTCTGTAAGAGGACATGCCCACCCCCGCCCCCATTAGCAAACCAGAAGGCATTTGGTTTCAAGCAGCATTTCCCAGCATGTGAACGTCTGAGCTGGGACCAGCGAATGGTGAACGATGCAGCCCACACAGGAGGTTTCTCTCCCTCCATGCCAGTCCCTCGGACACGCCAAGCATTCAGGCTGTTGTGGAAATGTGGCGCACACGTGCAGACCCACCTGCCCCGGTCCCCTGGGGTTTCTGCAAGCATGCACACATGCACCACGTCCAGAGGCAATGTGCAGAACATGCAGCCACAACCAGGGTCTCCTGCCACAACGGCAGTGGGGAAGCAGCAGCCGCATGGACCGTGTGCTTCTTGGGGGGCAATGCCCTGCGACAGACCCTCAGCCCCCCTGCCTCTCCCGGGCAGCCGTCTCCCCCGCCGAAGCCCTGGGCTGCAAGCACGAAAGCAGTGGCTCCTCCCGGCCCGTCAAACGACCTTTCCCAAGCCAGCCGGGCTTTTCAGATGTAATTATTTGGACCAAATTATTTTCATGACTTAATACAATGCCTCGAAGCTTTCCAGCAAGGTTAATTAGATCCCTCCGTTCAAAACCTATCTGCTCTCAACTGACTTTTAATATGCTGTGATGCAGCTTTCTAAATCTGACCTAATGATATGATTAGCGGGCGGCTAGCTGGCCTGCTATGATTACCGTGGCACTGAGTCCCCGGCAGGAAATGTCTAATGCAAATTAGACTCAATTTCTTTGGCCCGGTCCTGCCTTCTCCCCTTCCTTGTGTTCCCGTTTGCTGGATGATCACCAGGCCGTGCCGCCTGGTGGCTTGCGCGGACCATAGAACATAACGAACAAAAGCAGGACATGCCTGTGGCCCAGTGCAACCTTGGGAACCGAGCGCTGCCTGGGGATGCTGGGACCTGTAGTCCAGCATATCTGGGGAGCTGCCAGTGAGAGGAGATCGGGCACCGAAGCCTTTTCCCCGTGGGGCACTTCCCACCCACAGGACCCGCAGCCAACGGAGGCCCCCCCGGAGACGACCCAGGACTTACCAAAGTACTCTGCTGACGGGGGGTTCTCCATGTCGTACAGCATCTTCTTGGTCAAGTGCTCCAGCTCATCCTCTGGTCTGAATAAAGGTGCATTTGGGGCCGGGCCGGGGCCGGGCGGTACACTCTGGGGACGCAAGAGACGGGCATCATGTGAATTTTCCAAGCTGACGCAATTGCCGGGACCTCAGGCCGATTCCAAACCAGGCTCCTCAATGCATGCGCCGGGGAAGGATTCCACCCAGCGGGCTGCCCGAGATGGACCCGACCGCCACCCTCGCCCTCGCCGCTGCCCACCGGCCTTTCTCCAAGTGCTGTCCAGCTGCAGTTCTTCCACGGATCTTTATGAGTGGGAAAATGCACAGGACGGCCCCTTTCCTTCCTCTACGTCCTTCCCCAAATACAAGGCCCAGCACACACGTACTTCAAGAAGTGGATCACTAGACCCCAATGATGAAAAAAGGGAAAATACAACCCCAAAGGGTGTGAAGTTGGGGTGTTTCCAGGTGACTCGCCCCGAGACCTACTGATGCACGGATCTTTTGTCTTTCCCTCTCTGATGGATCTCCTGCTATAAGTGAAAAGAGGTTGGGAAGCCAGGCCAGGGAGCTTAAAATTGTCTTTCGGATCCCTAGTAAAAATCCACAACAAAACAGCGTGACCACATGACAAAGGACATCTCAACTGGAAGTGTCCATGGACCGCAAGCCTCAGCCGCGTGGCTTCCCCACACTCTCCCCAGACTCTATGAAGAAAATTAGGACAAGCGCCTGCTCCATCTGGAGCCAGCTTGCCCGAATAGGCAGAACTCTCCAAAAATGCAGCCGGGTCTCGCACCTGCTCTAACAGAGGAGATCCCAGGGAAGGGGCCTGGCCCGCCAGACCTGCCGCAATCGCCTCCCACTGCGAAGGGTCCTACTTTCTGGGCTTTACACCAAAGCAAACAAACTGGACCATCATCAGCCAAGCAACGAGGAGAAGCAGCTCTTGTGAAGTCCTGGGGGATCAGATGCTTCTGGAAACGGCCCTGAAACTAGGTTTTGCCTGTCCTGGTTGAACCTGTCCCTGAGCACGTGGCCCCGTTTCTTCGGGATCCGTGTCCCAAGGGACACGCATGTGTGCGCGAGTTTGCAGCCCGAGAGCTTCAGGCTTGGAAGGCGGGTGTGGTGGAGGTGTGTGCGACCCCAGTGAGCTTTGGCTGTGGGGTGGCAGAGAAATGGAACAGCCGCAGTGGACGATCGGCACAGCGGTGTGTGCGGGGAGACTGACGGGGTCCCAGATGAATTCCGTGGCAGATGGGCTAGGAGGGCTAGCAAGGGAGAAAAGGCACGAGGGCTCAAAGGCTCAATGCTGGGAAGCACTCGGAGAGAGAGGGAGAGAGACTCTTCTCGCTGCTCGGCTCCCGGCTCCGGCTGGGGCCAACGTTGCTGCGATTCTCGTTTCTAGTGGCAACCGTCTTAAATATAGTGCCCCCAGCATGCACAGGGCTTCACTGGGGACACATCTGTACCGTGAGGGCCCTTAAGAAAGATGCAAGACACCGCGGGAAAACGCAGGCGGTCCTGCAGGTTCCCGTGACTACCTGAGCGTCTCACAATGAAGCCTGAGAACAAGGCATTTGTTGGCCACCTTGAGAGGCAGTTCTTCAAAACACACCGCGCTCTTCCTCACACACACATGTGCTTTGCTAAAACATGACCAGTGAGGGGGGGACACCCAGGGCCCTCGGATCGCGGGACTGGCCGCAGCCCCACCGCTTCCTTTCCCCCAGATGAGCGGCCTAGGATGTTATTCAGATGTGCTGGACCAGGATCACTTGCAACGGTGAGGCGATGGAGCGAGCGATGCGTCATCCTTCTGCGGAGGGTGGGATCTCAAGGGCATTTAGGAATTAACTGTTGTGCAAGGCTTAATAAAGTGAGCGGGATGAGTTCCATTTGAAAGCGGGCCAGGAACGGGGCTGCATCCTGCTTCGGGGAGGGGAAACGTGCCAGTCTGGCGTGCAGGGAGGCAGCGCAGCGTAGCGGTGGCTGTCCACGCCTCCTTGGATGGCCGGCTGCAGAAGGCGGTGCCTGGGCAACACTGCTCTGCCCCCAGACTCCTCCGTGTGGGGCTCACCAAGGCTCGGGGTTGTCCCCTTGCTATTTAACATCTACCCGAAACTGCTAAGTTGCGTCATCCGGAGTTTCTGAGCATGTGATTGTTAGTCTGCCACTCCATTTCTCCTTTTCGTCTTGAGCAGATGAGGCTGAGGACGGGCTGAACCGGTGCCTGGACTGGATGAGGGCCAGCAAAACTGAAGCTTGGCCCAGAAAAGCTTCTTCCAACTGGACGGAGGGTGTTCAACCTATTCAGGTTGGGCCACATGCCCCTTGAAGGAGCAGGATTCTAGTCTGGGGGGTAGCTTGACCCGCCTTTGCCACATAAACTCAAGCTGCTCAGGGGCATGGGATTCCTTCTTCGGGACCACCTGCATCGGTTGCCTCTACACGTCCGAGCTGGTTTTAACCCATAAAGTCGTGCATGGCTTAGGACCACAATAACTGTTAAAGTGCCTCCCCCTGGATCCTGCACTCAGTACCTGGGGCCTTCCTCTGAATGCAAATCACAGGGAGGCCTGGAGGGTGGCAGGAAACTGAGGAGCTTCTCTGTGGAGGCTCCCATCTCTGGCATGGCCTCCCCACTGAGGCCTACCTGGCACCAACCTTGCCATCTTCGCAGCTCCAGGTTAAGATGCCTTTTTTAGTCCAAGGATATAGAAACATAGAAACAGAGCGAGTCAGAAGGGTCTCCTGGGCCATCTAGTCTGACCCCTGGCACCAACTGGCTCCGCTCACAACATGCCCACCATGTGCACATCCAGCCTGTCCTTGAACACCCCCACCGATGGGGCCTCAACCTCCTCCCGTGGGAGCCCATTCCACACCCTCGGGGTCCTGACTGTCAGGAGGTGCTTCCTGGCATCCAAATGGAACCTTGGCTCCCTGAGCTTGGCTCCTTGGTAAGTCCTTGGATTACCAAGGACTTGAGGGGATTGCTCATCCCACAAGTTTCCACGGGGCTATTCTTCATTCTATTTCAAAGCTGCTTTTAATTTTGTTTTAGAATGTTGATATTTCAATACGATGTTATGATATTTTATTGTATTTTTGAATGAACTGTCACAAACCACCGGAGAATGTTGGGTGTAGGGTGGAAATGAAATAAATGAACAATAAATTGTGACGATTGATGATGATGATGATGATGATGATGATGATAATGATACTTATGTCCACCACCTGCTGTCTGATCTTTGAAACAGAGATGCTAGGAACAGAATGTGGGATTACCACAAAGAAAGCCAGCCCTCCAACTGGGGCACAGCTTCCATGGGTCATAGGCCCCTGCCCTGTCCCAAGCAGGCTGAAACGGCTGGACCACCACCACCTTCGCCTTCTAGGGTGGGGACAACCCTGGCAGCCCTCCTCGTGTCTCGAGTTCATGGTATCACACAACGAGCCAGTTGCAGCAGTGTCTGGCTCTCGCAGGGGCCACGGATTAGCACGTGCCTTAATCTGAACAGGGTGCTGCCCCGCTAAATCTTTCCGTGAAAGGCGCCTGCAGCTCTGGCCCTGCCCTGCCAGTGGCAGCGCTGGATGCCGCGAGGGGGCTTTGGGTCGTCGCTGCAATATACATCCGCATCGTTTATTCGACACCCGCAAATGCACTTGTCCTCACTTGGGCGAGAGGAACCCTCCATTAGAAAGAGCGACGCCGTCTAGCAAATTTATGCGGCTGTCAAAGTTGGGCACGTGGTACCCACCCATCCTGGTGAAGCATTCCCAGCTTCAGCCCCCGCCATGGGGCCCCCCACGGAGGGAAGGCTCTGTTCCCCGCCATCTCCTGAGCGGGGCTGCTCCACAGCCGGGGGAAGGGATCGTCCCCCGTGCGCCTCGCCAACCAGCCCCCTGTCTTCAAACGGCTCTGGCAGCGTAACCGCATGCCGGGTTGGGAAACCGGCTGCCTGTAGCTGAAGATGTCACGGCAAGTTTCAATCACGGGGCAATTTGAATTAATTAAAATTAATCAATGGCGCTAACAAGGAAATAGCCCTGAAGTGCACGCTCCGAGGCTCCCTTCGTAGGCATGGCTCGCTCCATGTGTCTCGTCACCACGGTCTTGGAGGAACGGAGCTGATGGACGGACACACGGCCTCTTGCGGCAGTACGGATTATGCAGCCTGAGACCCCCCTTCTCAGTCCCATTGCTAATCCCCCCCCCCCCCCCCAAAAAAAACCTCCCAGTGCCAGAAAGCGCAGAACTGGAAGGAAAACTGCACCGACTGACTCTAATTTGCATGATAGGCCTTCTCGGCACACTTCGGCTCAAACCTGGATGAGGGAAGTGAAAGCAAATTTTGTTGCGGTTTTGTTGCATCCTGATAATCTTCTGGGAAACCCCTCCTTCAGCATTTCTGTTCTTGTATTACATCATGGCTGAACCATTACAAAACTCATCCTTCATATTCACACTAGCCTAAGAGAGTCAGATACCGGAGAGGAAGCCCAAATACTTGGGCCACCTCATGAGAAGGAAGGACTCCCTGGAGAAGGGCCTGATGCTGGGAATGATGGAAGGCCAAAGGAGGCACCACCCCACCCAGAGGGCTGCCCAGTTCCTCCCTGAATGTCTCCAGTGTGGGACTGCCCACTGCCTCTCCGGGCAGCTGGTCCCGCTGCCATATTGCTCTGACCGTGAGGAAGCTTTTCCTGATGTCCAGCCCGAACCTGGGTTGTCGCAGCTTGAACGGATTATTCTGTGTCCTACGCTCTGACATTAGCAAGAAGAGACCTTGACCTTCCTCTTTGCGACAGCCTTTGAGGGATTTATAGGGGGATACCATGTCCCCCCTCAGTCTTCTCTTCTCAAGGCTGAGCATGCCCCGTTCTCCCAGTATCTCCCCATGGGCAGTGTTTACAAACGCTGGATCATTTTTGTTGCCCTCCTCTGGACCCTTTCCAATTTTTCTTGGTGCCCAGAACTGGACATACTTGCCACTTCAGTAGCTGGGACTCACAGGGCAAATGCAAAAGCCCAGGTTTCTAGCAACATGGCGCTCTGATTTTCACTCATAGCTCTGCTACA